TAGTTCAAAAAGTATGTGGACACCTAAACACACACACCTGTTGAATTTCAGTTAAAACCATTGGTATTGAAATTGAGTTTGTTAGCAACCGCTTTCTTCTGCAAAGGATTTCCAGTTTTGAAGTGTGTCAGTGAGGTCAGGCACTGGCTAGCACTGTTGTAAGATCACTGTACGATTTCCAATACATTTTTTTTGTTTTTACTTTCCAGCAAATACATTAGAAACATACGTTTTGCTCCCTTTATGAAATCCTTGGCAGACAGTTTGTCTGAACTGTTTTCTTCTGCTTGACTGTTGGCTAACTGTGCTGTTTTAAATGGTTCGGTCCAATTTGGTGAACTTGGTCATCCAGTTCAGTGGTGTTGCACGATATGCTGGTACTAAAAAGGTATAGTGATACCCCCGCTTTTGAAAACGGTATGATTCCTTTAATAAGGATAAATGTATGAATTTTTCATTCATACAGTAAAGAGTATAGTGCTTTACGTTTACATTTTGATTACTTTATTCAATTTCTCTTTCTTGAATGCTACTGTTAAATAGACCTGTACTTGAAAACACATTTTATTTCATTTGTGTCTTTGTTTTATTGTATTTGTCCTTTTGTTTGTTACTTGCATCTATGTTCTTATTATTAATAACAAAAACTACTATATCATGATATAAATTTTATTGTGAAATAAAATTACTCCTAGCATTGAATAATATATTTCCCACCCCTAGCTCAGGCCCTAAGCTAACTTACCAATTTTGCAAAGATCTATACATACCTGTAGGCTCGACTGTATCATTGTCACGTTACGCTCCTGCGGGAAGAACGTAGGAGACACGGAGTAGCATTCACAGTCTTTAATGATGAAAACATGGGATAATCCACAATAGGAGCTGGGCAAACACACGTAGAAACAAGTAGACCTGACAAACACAAACACAAACTGAACAGACTAGGACTTTTAAACACAGGGCAATCAGGGGAACACAGGTGACATCAATGGAACATAATCAAACTAGACGAGGACAGGAACATGACCAAATAAGGAAACACAGGAAGGACTACGGGGGCAAAACAGGTCCAAAAGTCTGACATTTCGCCCCCTCCCAGAAGGTGCGTCCTTGCACCGTAACAACAACAGAGGGAGGCATAGGTGGGAGCTTGGGAGGAGGCTCAGGAGGAGGACGGAAACCCGGGAGGGGGCCGGCAGACAGAGACCAGGAGGCGACAAAGGAGGGAGGAGCCAGGGAGGAGACAGGAGGGGCTTGGGGCAGGAGGAGCCCAGCTGGACCCAGGCCACAGCCATAATGTCAACCCACGGTGGAGCCGATGGAGGGAGGAGCCATGGAGGAGGAATGGCCGCCGAATCCAGGGGACCGACCAATTGCGGCAGAGCAGGTGATAGAAAACGTTCTTATCACAACGTTCTTGCAACGTCTTTAGGACGTTATTTGTACTTGATTAAGGTTTTCATAATATTGAGAGAAAACTTTCTTTGAACAATATGTTTAGAACGTTTTTTTTATGTTATTTGTACTTCAGGAATGTTCTCGTAATGTGAAAGGAAAATGTTCTTAAAACAATATTCTCAGAACGTTGTTTTAATGTTTTTTTACTTTATGATTATTCTTGTAATATTAAAGGAAAAACATTCGGTAACACTTTAGAATAGGGAACACTTATTCACTATTAGCTACTACATTTCCCTCAATAAATTCCTAATTTGCTGCTTATTAATAGTTAGTAAGGTAGTTGTTAAGTTTAGGTATTGGGTAGGATTAGGGATGTAGAATACGGTCATGTAGAATAAGGCATTAATATGTGCTTAATTACTACTAATAAATAGATAATATTCTAGTAATATGCATGCTAATAAGCAACTAGTTAAGAGACCCTAAAATAAAGTGTTACCAAACATTCATAGAACAACATTGTTGGAACATTGTTTTGATGTTATTTGAACTTGATGAATGTTCTCTTAATACTGAAGGAAAACGTTCCTAGAATAATATTCTCAGAACGTTGTTTTGGTGTTTTTTGAACTTGATGAATGTTCTCTTGATATTGAAGGAAAAGGTTCCTAGAATATTATTCTCAGAACGTTGTTTTGGTGTTATTTTGTGCTTGATGGAGGTTCTCACAATGTTAAAGGAAAAACATTCTTAGAGCAACATTCTTGGAACATTGTTTTGATGTTATTTGTGCTTTATAAAAGTTCACATGGCTTTGAAGAGAAAACGTTCTTAGAACAATGTTGTTTTGATTTTATTTATCAGATACAATGTGTGACCTTAGTGACCTTTTACAAAATGGTTTAGAGACTGACAAGGGTCTTTTAAAAGTTAATCTGCGATGTGTCAGTTGTGATGTCCCAGCAAAAGCACTTGTTAAGTGCACCAAGCAATAATCAGGCTATTATGGTTGCGATAAATGCATGCAAAAAGGTTTCTGGGATGGTTCTCAGGTTATCTACCCAGAGAACACAAATTTGACTCTCAGAACAGATGTGTCTTTCCGTATCAAATTACAGGAAGAGCATCACCAGCCTTCAGATGTATCTCCAAATGAGAGATGGTTTTGCATGCTCCAAATGGACATGGTTCAGCAGTTTCCTGCAGAC